TTTAAACTACAGCCCAAAAACTCAAGAGTAAGGCACAGTCATTACCACATGTTTACCCTCCCACATCCGTTTGTCTAAGCATTGGTCCCGGTTACCCTGGAGACGCTGGTTTCTCCGAGGATAACCAGTCCTCTTATTCGCTTAAGATTCTCAGCCCTTCTCGCAAAAACGGTGAAAACTTCAGAAAGAAGACGGGATGGACTTGGTTCAGAGTCGGCTACAATAACGTGTCATGGTCCTGCAGTGATTGTTTTTTTTTCCTGTACTGATTTTCCACATCAGAGGAATGTTTTATGATGAAGAGCCCAATAACTCTGAGCTTAGTGCCAAGGTAAACTTCACTGTACTGTAAAAAAAAAAGAAAAGAAAAATGAGGAAAAACCCACTGCTGCTTTACGCATCATGGAGAAAATAGGCCGAAAAAGGGTTGAGAATCATGGAGGGCAGGACCCATGGGTGCAATGTGCTACACGACTGCATAACATCCCTTCTCCACCTGCACCGACGAGTCAGAAACATAAAACATCTAACAAAAATAAAGATGTGGCGTCGTGACACCGCTCAAAGCTCGGACAGAAATTAAAAAACAAAGAAAAAGCAGGTTTAGGTCGTTTATTTGTTACGGGCACTCTCGCAGCCCTTTTGGTTTTTGTGGCAAGGCTCTCAGGTGTGTGAGATGACGCTTCTCGACATGTTAGTAGCACCAGTTTCCAGTTACGTGGGTCGTGTGTGAGATGACGGCTTGTTAATCCAGTTATGAGAGGCTTGGTGTGGATAAAGGCTGAGGTTCAGGTTTGGTTGAGGGATTCAAAGAGCAGCTTTTAAAAGGATCTATAAATCATTTCACTCCCGTTGCTATGGCCACCGACTGTACTCCTACCCATGATAATGTCTGTGCCTTGGACATAGAAAAAAAGAAATTTATCCAATTGTGTTTTCCACCTGTGAGTGCAGTGAACATACGTGGCCGCACCGTTTTTATTATTTATTTTTTTTTAATTTTCTTTATACAGTTCTGGGGACAATGGGTTGGGGCTTGTGGAGGGAGGGGAAAGGGAGGATAAGTGTTTTAACTTCCTACATCCTGTTTGGTTCAGGAAACGAGACGCCTCCGCCAACCACAGAGCAGGAGTACACCACAGGAAACTGGTTTACATTTCAATATTTTACACTTGAGATGAGGAGACGAGGGGCTTTACACCCGTCAGTAACATTGTGTTCCATATCTTTATCGTTATAAGATCCACTCCAGTTATATCACACAGAGGCCACGAGGCCCGCTCATGAAAACAAAACATACTCGGCTCGGTCTGGTGGAGGCAGAAAATCAGTTTCCACATGAACCAATCAAAACAAAAACTCACCCACTTTCTCTTTCTGCAGCTGAGGCTTCATCCACACGACTACATTTCTCCCAACTTCTGTTTCTGCCCGACTCAAATGCAGCGCTGGAGTTTTCGAACTAAAAACGGGACCAGCAGCATTTTCAAACTGAAACGTAGAAGTGTGGATGTAGCCTCACGAGAGCAGATTCGATCCACGAGCAAGTCTTTTGTGGGAGATTGGATCAGGTAGAAGTGGATCTGCCCGGACCAGACCAGGTCGGACACCATAAATACTGCCACCATGCTGCTCACACCGATAACAGGTAGAAAGACGAGGGGAGGAGAGGGGGGAGGCGAGGGGAGGGGGCTCTTTAAACGTGGCTCTGCTCTGCTCTGGGGGGAGGGACGGCCCAATCGCAAGGCGAAGGAGGGAGGGAGTGAGTGGCAGGTCGAGCAGCGAACCAGATTGGAGCAGAAAAAGTGCACAGCTCCTCGGTAACTATGGCAACAGATAAAGGTCGGCACTGCAGAGCAGAGCTGGGAAAGGGAGGGAGGATAAAAGGAAGGAAAGGGAGAGAGAGAGAGGCGTCTCCTTCTCCTTCTCTTCTTGTCTCCTCCTTCTATCCTTCCTGTTCTCCCTGTGCAGTTTATCAACATAAGGTCAAAAGTAAAGGATATGATGGAGGGAGTGAGAGAAGGTGTGGATAGGTAGATGTATGGACAGGTAGTGCTGTCATGCTGGGTCGCTACACTTCATTCAATCATCAGCATCGCAGCAGTGGGCAACCGTATCCGGTTGCCGTGGTTTCCCCCAACTCCCCCTCAGTACTCCCACAGCGTGGCGGTCTCCAGGCTGTCAGCGTTGGCCTTCAGCACCCCGGCGTGGTCACCGCGGAGGTACTTGCCATCGGCGGCGTGGCGGACAGCCAGCTTGTTGTAGTCGCAGAACTCGAAGAGGAAGTCGACGGGCGTGTCGCTGCTGCTCACCACCGACTGCTCGTTCCCGATCATCCAGTATTTACCCGTGGTGTCTGCAGGGAGAGGAGAGGGAACGGGAGGAGGAAAGGATGGATTAGAGAAAGAGTGAGGGAGGCGGCACGTGTCAGTCAGGTGGGGGAGGGTGTGAACACAACAAAAGGTTTAGCTTAAAATTTGCTTTGTTTGAGTTACAGAACACAGAGGCGGCGAACTCATCCGGATGAAATCCCTCTTTTTGGCACAAACGCCAGTGAATGAGTAAATCCATAATGAGAATCGCTTTAAGAATAAATGCTTTAATCCCTTGTGAGCCTGCAGGAGCTTCCTCCAAATCCTCTGATGAGCGATAGATATTTACTGACTGCGTGATGCTGCCGCACAAGTTTCTACCAAACTAAAGTTGCTGCAGCCGCACCGAGCCTGGACGGACACTGACCTTGCAGACTGTAGGCGCCGTCTCTGAACTCCAGAGTGAAGTAGTCGTAGGAGGAGCGGTTGGAGTCCAGCGTCCCCGTCACCTTCCTGCAGCCGATGAAGCCGTGCTCGCCGCGCAGCACGATGATCGGACGGTTAATCAGCTTCATGAGGAACTCCTCAGTCTCACCTGGAGGCAGATGAGGGACGCAGCACGTTTCAGTAAATGTACTTGTGTTGGAATTCAAACACATTTAATTACATTTAAGACTTGGCTGACGTCTGTAGATTAAAAACACTGCTCTGCAACAGCAACATTTAGTTGCTGACTTTTCATGCATCCCATTTAAAGCCCTGAAGCTGCCAACAGCTCCTCATCACAAACTGCAGAGTAAAGTGAAAGTTTCAGCTTTGATTCACTGACATCATCCCTGGAGCCTCCTCTGATCTGCTCGCCGACTCGATGTGTCGGCAGAAAACGAACCAAGTTTCTCTAACGACCAAATTCTGTTGGACGCAATAGAAATGAAAACGCGGGTGTGGTCTCTGTAAACAGATTCTCATGTGACTCTGCAGAATCCTTAGCGAGGGATTAGATGTTGTAACAGAAGCTGTTTCAACCGACCCTGATGTTTTCAAACCCACAAGATTTCTCATGTTTCCAATCACCGTGATTCACTTAAGAAGATGCTTCTTTTTAAGTGAATCATGAAAAGAGAACAAACAGAAAGAACCAAACAGTTAGAGGAGTAAACGGCTCCGTGGTCCCGACACAGAGCTTCACAAGGTGCTGAAGTCCAGAAGAGCCATGATTTCATTACTCTCACTGTCCCAAAGTAAATCGCTTAGCCACGGGTCAGCGTCTGAGCGGCCGTTTCCACAAATCACACTCACCCGCTGAGTCGATGGTGGCTGCGAGCTGGCCGTTCTTCTTGGCGGCGACATATTTCCCGTTGGCGGCACGGAGAGTCAGCCTCTTCCCACGCCACTCAATGTCAAAGTAGCAATTAGCCGACCTACAGAGAGAAAGTGAAGGCGTGAGAGGTAAACAGGGTGATCGAGATTTACATGGCACTAATCCAGGCCCGTCCTTAAGTGGGTGTCAGTTGCGAACACACATTCACATTCAGTTCTTTCTGCTCAGGTAATGTTTGTGGGGAGCTGGATCGCTCGGCTCAGTGTGGAGGGATAAGCTCGTCGTCTTCTCTTGAATCGGGTTTTTATTTTCAAACGTTTCTTTAACATTCCTGGATCAGAACTCAAGCTCTGTTAGATTCTCCAAAAATATTTTCCCTGAAACCACGAGAGGACCTGGTGAGAGAACCCATTTTTGCGGTTCAATCTGCGAGGAGTCAACGCTCAAGAATGCGATGGAGGAATTTAGTGAGAGAGCTCTGCAGTATGACGACCCCCCCCCCCCCCCCAGAGTCAACGACCATCTCTGCTCCGTCTTATCTTAAAAAACAAGGAGTTGGGGAATCAACCTCAGGGTTGAACAGAACAGACTTTTCTCCAAACAATCAAACGCTGGATCAGATTATTGTTGTGCTCTCTGTCACATCTGTTTCAAATCTGCAGATTATTCTGGGTAACGTCCTCTGCATTAGAAAAAGAGATTTTCAAAATAAAGAGTCATTTCAGGACAAAAGCTAAACCAGGTGGCGTTCTACTTATTAGTCAAGAACAACAAGAGTAGATTTCTACGAAGGCAGCTTCCGCTCCTGAATGTGTTTTGAGGCCTCAGAAGGGAAACGGTACAGCAGCACAGGGTCAAAAGTCAAAAGGGTTGAGGGTTAACAGCCTGCACTCTCGCTGGACAGAACCACTGGAGGAAAATGGCTCCCTACAGGTTTCACAGAAACACACACACACACACACACACACACACACACACACAGCTCAAATTACAGAACAGGACTACAAACTAAAAGCTGTAACAGACTCTGGCTCTGAAAGGGCGACTGATGGAGCAGCTGTTCTTGTGGAGAGTTTTTGTTTCAGAGTTTTTAAGAATCTCTAAAATTGAGAAGTTTGAAAACGCTGCAGGCTTTGTTTCAGTTTGCAAACTCTGGGGCTGAGTTTAGGTCTTTAAGGTCACGACGTAGCCTTCGCTGATTCGTCAGGGTTCTATCACTACGACTCTCTTCTGGAAGTTAAGCACCTGGCCTTAGTCTCGGCTTCCAGTGTAGAATATAACGTGGATAATCAATTACAAGCGTTGCCGACCCAGTTGTCTTTGCTAACAGCTGTTGTGCAGTTAAATTTTGTATTTTACAATAATGCAACTGTTCACGTGTGGAGGAGATGAGCCGTTATTTGGGGATTGTTTTAGTTTGAAAAAGCTGTTTTCGTAGTATGGATGTAGCTTTAAAGACAAATGATAGCGTGTGTGATTCTTACTTGGTGGAGGCGGTGCACTGCAGGCCACCATTATTAGTCAGGGTCCAGTATTTCCCAGCAGCAGTCCGGAACGCACACTTTCTGTTTTCGCGACAAATCTCCACCTGGAAAACCTCCTGGTCGCCTTCCTCATCCTGATTGGCTGACAAGTCCATACCTGGGTGCAGAGAGGAGGGGTTAAGTTAAAATACAGACAGGCAGCGGAGTCCAATGTGGATCTGAAGGCTACAAATAGCCACAGCAGGCGACCATTATAAAAACAGCAGTCCAGATGTAGACACACACGCACACACACATCCTCTGGTCAGGATCAGACGCACTAAATGAGCAACATCAGACAGCTTTGACCAGTGAAAGCTTTTTCAAACACACACACATCTGCCAGTGCAGACAGACCCGCTGCAGTTCAAAGAATTAGTCGTCATGGTGGATCATCACTAAACACTTGAGAATCATTAGCAACAACCATGACTGGACAGAACAGCTGCACCTGAAACACACAACTATCCTCATCATCACTTTAAATCAGTGAGGAAACAAGAATTATATCAGGTTAAATGTGTCTGTTAATAAAAACCATGTGGGACCAATATCAGGGCAACAATTGTAGTTTTTAACAGATTCATTGGTAATGAAAATAATTTAATACCGATCACCCACAACATTAAACATGGCTGTAAATCTGCAGTCCATACAGTTAATGTGTGTGTGTGTGTGTGTGTGTGTGTGTGTCCATCACCACTGTATGTATATAGTATCCAGACCTCATTAAAATCACATCAACTTGCTCCGTCTCTTAAGAGCAACAAAGAGGTAAACAAACGACCATAGGACGAACATATACACAACCCACCAGTGGACCACTCCCTTCATAAACACACACACATACATACACACACAGACACACAAACACACACGTCATGCCGCACAATGGCAGCTATTGTATATGATGAAGTCATGGACCTATAGCCAGAGGGCTGAGCAGACAGAGAGAGATGAACTGTCTGTTGGAGCGCTGCTGTGTAAATGTGTGCAGAGAGAGAGAGAGAGAGAACCAGACAGAAAGAAAGAAAGAAAGAAGTGTTTGAGAAAACAAACCAACTCTCATGTGCCCCCCCTCCCCCTCCTCCATCTCATGTTTTCCATGTTTCTTGTTCTCTCAGTCTCAGAACTTCGCTCACACTGAACTCGTTAAAATCTGCAAAAAAACAACCTAATCGGGTTTGTTTAAAACTGGAAGTGAAGCTTCTTCTCGTGATCTTCATCAACTGAGAGTAATGAACAATTTGATCCAGAAAGAGACAGTATGAAAACATAAAGGGGGAGATGATGCTTGTTAATTAGATGAAGTTGTAAAAGAGGTAGATGGTAACCTGAGCCACAGCCGGAGCGCAATGGGGAAACATCACATTAATATATTAATGACAATAATAACCATTATATTAGCGGCACTTTATTCATCATTCTCTCATGTTTACCATTAATTTGACATTTACCCATCGTTCATGTACAGAACGCACACGTGAATTGATATTTTGTATTAAATTGATATTTTGTATTGAATTGACTAGATGTGCAGCGCTTGTCTCCAACTGGAGCCAAAAATATATACTTCATATTAAACATTAAGATCCCAGACGAGCCCGTTTACCTTCAGCAAGTATTACATAGGTTTTTATTCACTCGAGAATAACTGCTCACATTTTACGTCTGAAAAAAAAGAAAGAAATACACATTACTCTCCTCTCCTGTCAAGTGCTAAAGACAATTTAAGAACTCTGGCCTCTGCAGACAGTTTGATTTTCTGCAGAAATATGTGGAGACACACACACACACACACGACTGAGAGGGAGAATATAACTGACCATAATGTGAACCACATGGTGCGGTGGGGGCGGGTCAGAGAAAATTAAATATAAGTTTAGCTGCAGCAGACGCAGAGGGTTTGAAGGAGGAGCATTAGAGGAGGAAAAAAATGAGGAGGAAAGACTCTGATTGACGACACCATCATCATTCATATCACCAAACCGTCCTCTAATCCTCGGCTTCCTGCTCGACACACACACACACACACACACACA